GATTTGCTTGAAACATAAATTTATACCAAAAAAATTGATCACTTTTTTATTTTTTATTTAAAACTATTCTTTTTTAAAAACAAATCAATTCAATGTACAAATATAAAAAGAAAAAAAAAACAAATACAAACACAATGAAATGAAAGGAAGCAGAGAGAAGAAAAATATCTTATGATATCTGCCCCCTTTTTTCCTCAAGTATAAACTCAAACAATATTAATCTTCAATTAACATAAAACAAAACAAAACAAAACAAAACAAGAAAAAAGTCAAATCCTTCTAGAACACAAATTTACATGTACATATACTGTTTCATATTTCCTCAAAAGCCCCATTAGGTACACATACCAAATACTCTTAAAAACAAGACAAAACAAGAAAAAAAAACACATTTGCAGATTCTTTCTCTTCAGTGCTTTTATTCAATTAAAGTCTGGATTTGTTTGGTTTGTTGTTTTTAGGTTTTTTGTGTGTGTTTTGTGTTGATTATTTGTTCATTGTACGTTTCTCTCCTCAGTTGTGCTCATATTTTCACACCTGTTTTCTATCCCAATCAATCCTAGCCTCTTTAAGCTCCTTCTCCCAGTCACTCTGCAGTCTAGCATTGTGGTTTCATACCCTGTCTGGTCCTCTGAGTTTCAGTTTGTTTCCTTTTTTCCAACTTTTGTGGTTTTTTGTTTCTTTTTATCAGTAAATCTTGAAGTTTTTCCTCCAGCTCCTCCTCTTGGTCTGCATAGGTCTGATTTTTTTATATATTTTTTTAGTGACAAGAATGTGCCACCGGTGTGTGAGTGCTGAGCCCAACAGTTTGGTTCTGCTGACCTCGTGAAGATAAGGTGACCTCGACTCGGTCAGACATGAAGGTTCAGGCGCTGCAGTGTGATTCAGTAACGTCCAACCCTGAAATGTTTCACATCTACTGAAGACCAAATTTCTCTCAGTGTCCTTAAGAAATCTGCAAGCATCCTTTGTTCCTGGCAGCTATTTGATTATTCAAATAAACGCCTCGTGTAATTTGCTTTATCTTCCTGCTATCCTCCTGCAATGGAGTAATGTGAGATGGTAATTGTTCAAATTTAATTTTATTCTCAGGCAGCTTTATGTTTCTTGATATTGCCCGAAAAACTGAGTTTAAAATCAGTTTAATCAGTTCTCATTTCAGGTTCAAGTTCTTTACAGCTGGAAAAAATGAGATTGTTTCGTATCTTTTGTTGTAACTCTTAGAGGGGAAAAATTGTGATTCTGTCATTCACGAGTTTCTGTTCATCTCTGAATCATATGGTTCTGTCACACTGTAATCCTGGTCCTCGACAGGACTGCTGCTGCAGAGACAAACAGTTTCTGGTTTCAGGATGTGAATGAGTTGTGGTTTTATTCTGCTTACATCTGGGACCAATTTACAACGACAATCAGGTCTCTTAAGAGACATTTGAATAAATTTGACTGATTTTCACATCATACTAGTGAATTTAGCAAAGCTTCATTAAGTGCAGTAAAAAAAAGGTGGACGTGATGAATATCTTATTTATGCAGTGACACATCTTTAAAAGAGAGAGTTACTGTTAAAGATCACTCTAAATATTGATGTCAAACGTTATCGATCGCTGTAAGTTCCTGCTGCCGACTGAATTGGCTCGAGTGTAACAGACTCTATTACTGATGACAGAGGGAGCTGAAAGAGCTCTTTGTTTGTCTTATAAAAGTCCTGTTGTACGAGTCTGCCTGCTATGAAAATGGCTTTTGTTCAATGAAGAAGTGAATTGGAGACTTTCTGTCTCATTCTTCAGGTGGGACAGCAGTCTAACAGGGTTTGATCTTAGGGGTGAAAGTTATCAGAAACATGCTATTTTCTCTTTTCCTTTTTTCTTTTCTTTTTTTAAGACAAACTGTGCCTAAACACTCGTTACACCCACTGCCAAAAGGCCAAAGGTGCCACGATGAAGTTTTTGCCAACACACATTTGTTCTGTGTATGTGTTTGTCTGTCTAATAGCTAAATATATATTCTTACCAGCTACAACTCAGTCATTTCAGTATAAGATTGCCAGTTTGGTCAGTAAACTGAGAGTGAAAGTTGAGTTCTGTTATCGCAATAGATCCTGTTTCTCCCTTAAAGCATGAAAAGAATTGGTTTCAAAGTTTTGTACCTGAACACCTCGACTAAATGTCTCCACTGTCTATCACTGCACTTTGAGGTTTGAAACTGACTGCAGATGTCTCACACATCACCGTATGATTGGCCTCCTCTGAGGAATGAAGATGAACTCCCTGGATGTCTTTGATACATTATGACGAGTGCTGTTTATTTGTGCCCAGGTCCTCCTTGAAAATGAGATCTTGATCTCAGTGGGGTTTTAAATCTATCCATCCATCCATTTTCTGTACACGCTTCTTCCTTTTCAGGGTTGCGTGGGTCACTGGTGCCCATATCCAGCAGTCACAGTGCGAGGGGTGGGGTACACCCTGAACAGGTCGCAAGTCCATCACAGGGCCACACATAGAGACAAACGAGACAAACAACCATTCACTCTCTCACTC